GGTTGATTAGCCTCCTTTGGAATTTGTTGCCTTTATCTCTGGAGCCTTCATTATTCCTGCTCAGGCCTTTTCTTATTCTTTTCTGACTCTAAAAGCTATCTGCTTGCCTGTGACTCACAGTTACCCTCTTAGCATCCTCTGCACTCTGAGACTCACTTTTCAACAAGTATTTATAGACGTATAATTTCTTGGTGGATGGAGGGAGGGAATGGTGCCAGTGAGTTTCTTGCTGCCACGGTGTGTATATCAGAGATGCAGGGGACACCACATTTTGTTAGTTTCTATCTCTGAAGGTAGATATGCAGCAAATAAACAGTGGCCTGAGATAATTGAATAGCTGCGGAGTCTAGTTTTAACAGGGTCAGGCGCACAGCTCCTCTGAGGAGATGCCATTTAAGCTGAGAACTAAGTAACCAGCTCTAAGATACCACACAAATCTGCAAGAGAAGATTAGAAGTGAGAGAGCGTGTGCAAATTCAGTTAAGAACATGTAAGAGAAGAAAAATAATTTTCTCTCTATCCCTCTGGGTTCTTAGCTAAGATTCCCTTGTAATAAAAGACATTAGCAGGAGAGCATTGAACAAACATTTAATAACATGTATACCCTGTACACCTGGGTTGTACCCAGGGATACTGAATCATTTTAAATGATCCAGACCACCACCTTAAATACCTTTTCCAGTTAAGTAGCTTTAACTGGAAGTTAAAAATTAAAATTGGAGGTTAAAAATTTAAAGTTACTTAACTGGAAAAGGTATTTCCATCCACATAAGATGTTAGGGGGTCAGTTATGGGAGTCCAGGCAAAGACACAGTAACAGAGGGTAAGGTTGTTATATGGATTTTAAATCTCTACCTTCTCCATTGATAAGAGTTTCTAGTTTTTTAGTCATTCTTTTAGGAGGAAAGGATGTCCTGAATGAAATCCACACAGACCAAAGCCATCCAAAACACTAAGGGCTACAAAAACATCAAAAACTACAAATCCCATAATGCCATCACCTCTGAAGGGAGGGTTGCTGGGAACTGAAGGTGTAGCTGAGCAGCCAGGCTTGGTATATAACCAGACATGTGGGCGGGCCTGGGAGGGCCTTGGTTTTTCGATGGCCTTCCATGTGTTGTTGGAGTTCCAGTTCAGAGGAATTAGTAGGACACATTCACCTGTGTGTGTGTGTATGTGTGTATCTTTCCCCTGGGTTATTCCTCTTTATTTCCCCTTTTTGTAAATAAGCCCCTTGATTACCCGCTCTGTGTGTGCCTGCAGTGGAGTCTCATTCCAAGTCCCTTGAAGCGTACTGTGAGGACCCACACTGAGTTGGGGTTGCCCTGTAACATTCCTTCTCCTTGTGGTACAGTAGATCTTGGAGTTATGTTGTTTTGTTTGGCTTCCTTTCATTATAATGTTGATAAGGAAAGAAAAATCAATCCCCAGTTGGGGCCACTGTGTCTGCATGTTTTCTCTCACCTGCTCGAGTTTCCTTCTACATCAGTGGCATATCTCAGTTGCTGCAGTTGCAGTGAGTGAATGAGTGAGTGTGTGTGTGTGTGTGTTTGTGTGTATGTGTGTGTGTGTTTGTGTGTATGTGTGTGACTGTATGAATGTGTGTGTGTATGAGTAGATGTTGTGTATAGGTGTGAGTGTGTATATATGTGTGAGTGTATGTGTGTGACTGTGTGAGTGTGTGTGTGTGACTGTGTGTGTGTGTGCATGATATACATGATAGACTCTGTGAAGGAAGAGCAAGCACCCTGCCCACATTTGGCTCTCATCTTGCACCCTAAACTTCCAGGAGGGGTTCCCCTCACCCAAGAGCCCTAACTGAAATAAGCAGTTCAGAAAAAGAATGAATGAATGAATATAAATGCTCAGCATTTGAAATGTTTGAAGTGTTTTGTGTCTTTAGAAGTTTGATGATGTTGTTGTAGCCAGAAATATGCTGGGAGAAGTTAGTTCTTGTTTATATCATTTGGCCTGTGGCCAAATTGGTTTTCCTATAGTTGTTTTGCTTAAAGTCACTGTTTCCAAGAAAGTCTAATGATGTTATATCAATTATGTTAAATGAGGACTTTAATATACAGAGAGGGAGACACTTTACACACAGTGATTTCCCTTTTCATTATAAATATTTCTTACCAAAGGGTAACTTCTAGGTTTTCAGAGTTTCTTATGTGTGCTATAGTTCTTAAAAATAATCCTTAAAATATTCTTTTTGCCAGAGGCATACTTGGGGGTTGTAGATTCTCCCCATCAATTGAAAGAACTTAGAGGGAGAGAAATGTCCTGTTTGAAATGGTGTAACAGAGGGAACAGATAAAGCTGCCAGACTCCACAGGGAGCAGATTATACAGGGATTTGTGGACCAGGAAAAGGGATTTAGATTTGAGTTTCATACCAGAGCGCATGAATTGATTTATGTTGGATGAGGACTCTGGCTGATGCCAGGAGACCATATTTGAAAGAACAGGGGACTTGGGAGACCAAACACAGTGTGTCCGGATTAGAGCTGAGAGTCTTTACCAGCACCGGCATGGCCCCGGGCTTGGGTGGCTGAGAGAGGCTCACGAGCCAGGCGCTGCCCAGGGAAGAGTAGGCTGCTCTGAGATACAAATGGTGGGTTAGACTACTGGGACTGTGAGTTTTATCTAATTTTTTCTCTTGACTATGGAGAATTTTCTTCCCCCAAAGTCCCTCTGCAGACATCAGTGTGAACTGCCGTAATATCCTGTGTGCTTGCCTTGCGCACACCAGTGCCTTGGACAGGGCGTCGTATCAAGAGTCCAGGGTGTGTTTGCTAACCAAAGGCATGCATCAGTCTTGATGCATTGTGCCCAGTTCCAGTTAGCACGTCCGTGCTACCAGGGAGAGCTCAGGCCTCAACTCGTCCATGTGCAAAATGTTAACTGGAATACACGTTGCATCAATAGCTCAACAAAGTGTTTATTCGATTTTCAGAGTGAGGATTTGAACGCAGGCAGCAGTCTGACATAGCTTTACTCTGTGAAAACTGTCCCAAAAGTCATAAGTTGGATTTAAGTTTATACAGATAGAGACAGTGAGTCATTGACATTAAACATACAATTAATTCTTAGTGGGGGGCGGGGGGCGTCTGGTTTTATGTTGTGTTGACCTAAGTAAATGCTAATATTACCAAGGTGCAGGAGAAAGACAATGTTAGGGTTTAATCTCGGCCTTCCTGACAAATGCACTATGAAGCTGCAAAGCCTTGTGTAAGGCCCTCCTCAGCTCCCTGGTCAGTAGAGGCATTGAGAAGACTGGCTTCATCCTCAACCAGCAGGTTTTGCACAGCTGTTTCATAGAATTCAAGGCCATGCATGGCTTTGTTCTCTAGGCTGCCAGAGCAGAGAGGGTTTCTGAGAGCTTTTTGTTCCTAAAAGGCAGCCACTCTTGAAGTGGACAGAATGGCAGACCCAAACCACATATACTAGGACTTCTTTTAGGAGTGAGAAACTGAACCCCAAAATAGACCAACACATGGAGGTAGCCCCTCTGATGCTATCCATCTACCCCTACACTGGTCGGGTCAGGTGCCACGTGCTCGGTGTCCCCATGCTCACCTGCCACACCACACACCCGTAGCATTCTGTGTCTGTGTCTCCAGCAAGCCAGCTGCTGTTTGGGTGTCTCCCAGCCAGTATACCACTTATCTAGCTACTTGGCATTGATCCCATCACTTGCCATCCTCAATCACATAAGTGGCTGTTGTTCAGAATATATGAAAAACGTCCACAGTGCTTATACTATTTCCTCTTGTCTGGAGTCAGAGCAGGAAGAGTTCTGCCCATTTTGCATATGGACAAATTGAGGCCTGAACTCTCACTGGTTCCCACAGTTAGCAAAATCACCTGGCTGTTTAAAACACACACACACACACAAACAAACAACCAAACAAAAGTGGTGTTTCCTTCACTAGGATAGAGATTCTGTTTTTGATGGTTTGGGATTCTGCCTCGGAGTGAGTGACTATGTGTGTGTTCGTGTGTATTGTGTGTGTAAGATCCACAGGTTTGCACGGTAAAGTTTAAGGATCACTGCCCTGTATCAGTGTTTCTCAAATTATAATGGTGTAATCTCCCAAAGATCTTAACTAAATGCAAATTCTGGTTCAGCTGGCCTGAGCTGAAACCTGAGCCTGTACTTCTAAAAAGCACCCAGGTGAGGTGGAAGATGCTGACCCAGAGCCACAGACCACTTTCTGTAGCAGCACCTGAGTGTCAGGGAAATTCTGGGTCAAATGCAGAGAAAAGAAAACACCAATTATGGCGAGAGAAAGGCCAGGGATGATTGTGGCTGGACCATCAGGCTCAAAGGTACAGGCTTTGTGCCATGGACTTGGGAAGTGAATTTGAGACTGCAAGACCTTGCCCTGGCCCCTCTACCTTCTTGAGGCAGCAGACCTCCCCATCAGATTCCCCAGCCCCTCCTCGGAGATGAGCGCTCAAGCCCCATCTGTCGTCCTTGCTAGTGCTTTCACTTAGCATTTATGGAGTCCGCTTGGAATGTCTTTGTTCTTACTACCTACTTGGTGACGTTGAGCAGCTTGTGGTGATTTTATGTGCAACACCCTGCCCCAGCTTTTTTGTGGTGTCTTCTATGTCCTGGTCACCTGCAGCATGGCACCTGGATCAGCCCTGAAGTCACACAAGCTATGGTTAAGAGAACTCTGAGCACCAACATTAGCCTCAGTGGTCTCATCTGTACAATGGGAGTAAGAATAGTTGCAACTTCCCTATGGTGATGGCACACGAGTGATTTGATGATGGGAAGCCCACAGGGATTACAACTGCAATGGGAAAAGGCACAAAATGATGTAAAAATAAACTATTATATTATTTAAAAAAAAGAATAATTGCAACTTCCAATGATGTAGGTGTGATGAGATGATGTATATCAAGCTTTTAACCCGTGCCCCCCCCCCCCACACACACAGGAAGCCATTGACAAAGAAGCATCTAAGGTTTTCTTTGTGTTTGGCCTTTTAGTCAGGTCTAATACGGACACAGAAAAATGAATTCCTCATCTCACCGTTACCTCAGCTCCTGGCTCAGGAACACAACTATAGCTCCCCTGCCGGCCATCACCCTCATGTTCTGTACAAAAGAACGGCTGAGGAGAAGGTCCAGCGTTGCCATGGCTACCCAGGCTCCAGCCAGAATTACCCTGCTCGCCTCCCAAGACCCACTCCCCATTCACCTTGGAATCCAGAAGGAGACCATCCCCACCGAAGGTTGCCCAAGCAGCACTTTTGTGGACGACGCAAGAAATGTATGTAAGGAAACCTTTTCTTGTTCTGTTCTCAGTGGGCCCTCATCAGATCTCCTGAGTGTCTGTAGATATGCTGACTTTGGGGTTACGATGGGGCTCTCCTAGGCTCCCCCAGATATGAGTCTTGGAGATGGACCAGTCTGTCAGGCAAAACTGAGCAATCCCTTCTTCTCAGTTAAGTTAGGGAAGATTTTTATTTTCTTTTTCTTTTTGGATCTCTAACTTACAATTCCCGATACCAGTAGTACCTTGGTCTCTGTGCCTTGAGGTTTCCAATGAAAGAAACCAGAGTTGACACCCCTGGGGTGGCTGGTGTTCCTTTGAGGACATGAAGGGAAGACACCCCCAGAAGCAAGAACATTGGCACCTGAGTAAAGGTGACAGTGGAGCCCAGTCACCCAACCTATGGCTTGACTGGTGACCCAGGTAAACCTTCCGCCTTTTCTAGATCAGTAATGTCCAGCAGAAATGTTAATGTTGGCTCCATGTGTATATTCAGATTCTCTAGTAGCCACCTTAGAAGTTGTTTTTAGTTATAAAAAAATTTTTTTAATTATTTTTAAAAAGCGCTTTATGCTACCAGTAATGTAATACATAATATACTTCTGTATATTATGCCCACTGCTTGTTGAAAATGCCCCATTTTGAAGATAATGTGAATAACTTCTAAATCAAGCACAGAATTGCTAATATACCATAAAAAGGTTTTTGTTCATGTAAAGAATCACACAGTGGTTTCCAGTCATACCCTCTATCTAACTACAGTGTGGATGCAGTAACAATTTCATTTTGAATTTTAAAACGAGTCTTTAAATGACTTTAGCATCTGCTTAGCTGAAGAGGCATAACCTCCTCTGAGTGCTGGTGCCAGGGCATATTAGCTGGACTCTGAATGTTTTCAGACTCCTCACTGCACATTTCAATAAATTAAAGCTAATGGGAAATGATTTCCAACTTAAGTGGTGGACAAAAAATATAATAAATGACCTGTTAAACTTTAAAAAAAAAGTTGGTTTTAGAAAGGTGAGTTATTATTAACACAGAATTTAACCCAATGTACACAAAATATCTCAACATTTAATCAAGGCCACCAATTTGTCGATGAGGCATTTTAGATTCTTCTCTTTCTGTTAACTTTTGGGAAGCCAGTATTTATTTTAAACTGGGAGTACAATGTCACCTCAGTTGATAGAATCTCCTCATAAATACTTCACATGTATTTCAGTACCATAAAATTGCAGCTTGAAAAAATGGACCAACCTATTCAAGCTGTCCCAGATGTACTTAGGTTTGTTTTTTCTTTATTACTTTATTTTTTCTAAGCACATCTTCTGGATCAAGTATTGCTTTTTAATTTTAAATTAATGCAAATTCAATAAAATGTTAAGACTCATTTTCCCCATTGGTACCGGCCACCTTTTAGGCGGGGCAGCCACTATCAGCAGGTGAGTGCCTCATTGGGCCAAGTGACAGGTGATGGCTTCACCCAAGGTCAAGGGGAACTGGTGTCACTAAGATGTTGGTTGGAAGCAAGAAAGGAAGAAGCACTTTTGCTATGCTGAGTGATTTTTGAATTTGGGGGGTGATTGACATTCCTTCTGAAAGGAACATCTATTACACAATAGATGCATCTACAGCAACAATGGTATGAGTGACAGCTGCGATATTTGCAGTGGCACTGAGCGGTGTGTGGCAGGAGACAGCAAAGTCAATCTTCAGAGCAGCTTTACGACTGGCTGCTCTGCTCTTCTTGTTGGTGAGCCAAGTGAGTCTCAGGATCACTTATCAAATCCACCAACCTAATTTTTAAAGTTAACTAGATGGTTTGGTCTTTTTATTTCACTTTATGAAAAATGGACAACATTATTATCACTCTTTACTATTATTAAAATATTTCTGTATCAGCAATCCCTGTGTTAGTACAGAGCTGTTGTCTGGATCTCTCCAAATGCCCCTCTCTTTCCAAGCTGACCTTTAACTTGTCACTATTGTTAACTAAAAAATTCTCCCGGGCCCATCTCTTTCGAAATTGAAAGGCCAGTATCCCTTTTGTTAAGGTGGTCCCTACATCTTCCCAGTTATAAAGTGCTTCATATCATTTTTAATATCACTCATGCTAATGCCGTGTCCCTCATAGCTAAGTCAATACCATGATCAGTATCCTTAGTGACCATTTATTACATGCAAATTAAGGATTATTTTGATGAGTCAGTACTGTAAGGTCTGAGCCATTTTGTAAAGGATCTTGAATTTTATTTCGAAAGTAATATTTACAGTGTTATCATGAATTCATATGCAAAGGATAATGTCTGTCTCTGCAATTTTTTTGTTTTCTTTAAAAAAAGATTTATTTAGGCCCTCCCTGGTGGCGCAGCGGGTTAAAGCACTGCACTGAGAATCTAAAGCCGCTTCCGCATGAGTTCGATTCCCGCCTGCCCCGGAGGTGACCACATGGCGTGGCAGACCTCTCCTGACATGCCCGCTGCTCCCCTCAGCAGTGTACTTCGTTGATCTGCCTGTTCTGCTCCCCACTCTGTCTCTGGTGAATCCTCTCACCCTCCACATCTCTGGCCTGTACCCCAGTTCTGTATGAATAAATAAATAAATCTTTAAAAAAAAAAGATTTATTTATTTATTTATGCATACAGAACTGGGTACAGGGCAGAGGTGCAGGAGTGGTGAGAGGCTTCACCAGAGACAGAGTAGAAAATAGAACAGGCTGACTGGCAAAGTACACTGCTGAAGGGAACCAAGGACAGTTCAGGAGAGGTCTGCCATGCCATGTGGGTCAGCTCCAGGGCCTGGTATCGAACACACACTGAAGCAGCTGTGGCTAGCTTGCAGTGCTGCGTCCTAACCCATTGTGCCACTAGGGAGCCTATCTCTGCAGTTTTTTAGCAAAAAAAATAAAGTGAACATTTTCTGCCTTTAAAGGCTCATGACTCGCCTAAACATATGATCTTGCATGAAAAAAAAAAAAATAAAGGTTCATGATTCACCCAATAAACATTCTTTTTGACTTGATTTACCAATCAAGATTGTAACTTTTACTCTTCAGACTATTTCTGAGGTGTTGAATCCAGCCACCTCCATCTGCCTCTATTCATCCATCTGTCCATCTATCCATCCACCCGTCTGTCCATCCATCCATCCAAACTTGTATTGAATAAATCTTACTCGACTGCATACTAGTTGCAAAGCCTCAGGACAGGAACAGTGGCTTCCCTTATCAGTAGATCAGTGAGAAATGGGTGGAACAAATAATGGCCCCCCCTGGTTAAAAGGCCGAACCAATTTCCCAGATGTTGACTACTGATCTCCCTTCCAAATGCTCTTGTGCTCATTGTAGATGCTCCCAGGCCTCCCACACAGGACACCTATCTAAGGTTTGATGAATATGGGAGCACAGGGCGTCCTAGAAGATCAGCTGGAAAGTCACAAAATGGCCTAAATGTGGAAACCCTTGTGGTGGCAGACAAGAAAATGGTGGACAAGCATGGCAAAGGGAATGTCACTACGTACATCCTCACTGTCATGAACATGGTAAGGGCAGTTGTCAGCACTCACACCCTCCCAGCTTTCCAAAATAGCTGGTAATCGCAGAATTCCTTGGGCTAGACTTTGTATCAGATGGAGCCATTCAAAAATGCTTCGTTTTGAGGAAATTACTTCATAGGTTACATATCTGCTAAAATTGAAGCCTATGTACTTGTAAATATGTCTGCTGGAGCCATCCCACCCAACCTACCCCCCCCCCACCATGTGTTGGAAATTTTGAGATTTTATTTCCATTTTTTCCAATAGGTTTCCAGCCTATTTAAAGACGGCACCATTGGAAGTGATATTAACATTGTTGTGGTGAGCCTCATTCTTCTGGAACAAGAACCTGTAAGTGGCAGACTTCATTTAGTCTTTTATTCATCATGTCACTCAAGATATATTTCCTGAACACATATGCTGTGACAATCTGTATACCACTCATTTGAAATTAAAATTTGAAAATAATACTGATGCCACCCTCCAGGAAAGTACTGTCTGGTAGGGTTGCACATTAGAATAATACCTCAAAAATAATTATATCTATAATAAATATCTATAATCTATATGTTCTGTGGATATGCATAGCACAATGTGTGAATATATATGCAGTGATGCCAAAAATCTGATTAGGTATGCACATATAGATAAATATAAAATGAGAGTATTACATTATATATAAAAATATAAGTAAGGTACCTTTGACAATAGATTTAAGGGATAGTTGGATCTTTGACAGTAGATTTAAGGGATAATTGGATATGCTGTGTGATTGATGGAAGATGTAAAAGGATGCTTTGAAAATATTCTTAAAATAAGGTATCAGAAAATTCTTTCAGTAGATCTGCCTACTCCCCAGTAATGTCGTAAATTCTGTCAAGAATAAATGAGGCATACTTGACTGCCTTTGAATTGATCACAGTGATTGCAAGATACAGGCATGAAGCAAATTATAAAACCAGAGCATAACATGTAAAATGGCATAGTACTCATTGCTCTGTACTTACTTTCATGTTACAACTGTCTGTGACATGGGCATTACCAAGGAAGCAGACCATTTTTATCAATCCCTTGGAGCTTTTTCTCTTCATCTATAATCCTGATGATATACAAAGCAGGGAGTCAGACATAACAGAAAAATCCATACAGTTGTCCAGGTATGTAGACATACAGAGGTCAACAACTCTGTCACTAATATTCTTTTGTTTTCAACTATATTTATACTTTGCCCAAGGACATTGAAGCCAGGGAAATACTAATTCACTAATAACTAAAGATCTGATCTAAAAGTCCTCCAAGTCAAGTCAGTAGTTTTAAGCAAACCTCTTGAAAAATGATTATTTTAAAGAGTAGGTCCTATCTAATCCTTTTGGCTCTTATAACTGTTGGATTATTGATATACTCAGTGAGCTGAGTATATGATGAATGGATTGTAACCCATGAGGTGCCAAACCCTTTGCTGGGAAATTTGACTTGGAACAAAGAAGCTCCAGTAGCTACCTTCCTCCTGCTCTGTGGAAGAAACCATTGAACATTATTACCATTTTTATTTTAAATCATTGGTGTTCTGGAAGCTGTAACAGGTTCCTAAAGATAGTACCAGCATACGATAAACAGAAGTGTTATAATGTGTGTCAGGTTATTTATTGTAGAGGTATATAGTTGTTCATAACTACACTACTGAAATTCTAAAACACTTTAAATATTGTGAACATTTACCCAAAATAGTTTTTAATTTTAATCAATAGTCTACAATATTAGTTCAAATGTTTTCCACCTGCCTTTCTCCCTAGAAACATGATGTTTTCTCTGTTTGCCTGCATAACTGGAATGACTCAACTTTCTCCTTTCTGTGACATATTCACTCTCTGATTTGTGTGGGTTTCCTATAGGGAGGATTATTGATCAACCATCATGCAGACCAGTCTCTGAATAGTTTTTGCCAGTGGCAGTCTGCCCTCATTGGGAAGAATGGCAAGAGGCACGACCATGCCATCTTACTCACAGGATTCGATATTTGTTCCTGGAAGAATGAACCGTGTGACACGTTAGGTACAGTATGAGCCAATGCTTCATGCACACCCACATTAGCTAGAAATTTCCTCCTAGGTGGGTGTGGGTGTCCCTGGTGATCCTTAATAAGGAGATGTAATGACTAAATGATGGTATATCCCCCTTTTGCCATCTGGTGAGTATACATCCTTGAACTGAATTCACTGTGGAATAGGGAGCCATTTTATTTTTGCATGTGTGTCTTTGTTCACTAACTCTGTTTATGGTTGGTCTTGTCAATGGTTTCACTAGATGAGCTGTGGGTTATTCCCTAAGCAATATGACTGTACAACTAGGTGGCTGAAGAGAAGGTAACTGGTCTACTTGGCACTTCAGTGTCCTTAGGCATAGTGCCTCCTTTAGAATGGTCCTTCCCCTATAAAGCAATCAGCTCTTTGTACAAAAGAGTGAGTAAAGACTATATTTATCAATGCTCTATTTTCATATCAATACTCTATTTTATGGCATATTCTATGGCATAGAATAGGAATTCGGGTTTTGTTCATGATGACCCAGAGTGGGAGTGTTGATGTGGTGGTGGTGATGATGGTGGCTCACATGGCCTGTACCTATACATTGAGATTCTACCTGATCTCACTCAGATCATGATGGTAAGGTAGGTGCAACCAGTTCACAGTGGTGTTTCAAAATAATTGAGGCATAGCCGTGTTGACTGTTTTTGGAAGACCCAAAACTGGAAGAAAGATTGTCATTAACATAAAGTAAACTTAGAAGATTCTATCAAGTACTAACTAGGATGATTTTAAAGCTGCCCAATAATGAAATGGATTTTTAGAACAGAAATATTTATCACGTTACAGTGAATAGGAGAAAAATGAACTGATTCTCCTCATACTGTTCAAGCATTTCATGTTCTTTGCTTTAGAGAAAGACCTGGATGTATTTTCCCTTCAAAAAGACACTTAGAGCCCTGACACCTTTTGACTCAACTATCCTGTTAGCAATTGCTATGACCTATATGATAAACTTAGGACATAGAAATACGCTGTAACTCCTGTCTTCTATATAGTGGGGATTACTGACTTCATAGGGTTGTAAGGAGAATCCATTGATCCATTTTTAGAAAGCAAGAAAATACTCAATACTACATCAGTCTACATGGTTAGGATAGAGAACGAAATACTCTTAGCATTTTCCTACAGACAGTAAAATGGATTAATCCAATGAACTAAAGACTTACAGGACATTTTGAGGATGGAAGAACTAATCAGGTCTCTGTGTGTTCCCTTTGCACTAACATTTGAAGTTGCTCTTGCCATAGGCTTCGCCCCTATCAGTGGGATGTGCAGTAAGTACAGGAGTTGCACCATCAATGAGGATACGGGACTTGGCTTGGCCTTCACCATTGCTCATGAGTCAGGACACAAGTAAGTGATCTTGTGGTCACTTTATTTGAAAACTGGTTGGATGGTTCATTGGATTTTGTCTGATGATTATCTTGGGTCAGTTATGAAATAGTATGTAGGTAGAATAAGTAGGATCAGTTTTATGTGGAAGAAGGATTCAATAAGGTCAGTCATTTTGCTCTTTTGAAGCAAAAAAAAATATTATTATTATTTATTTTTCTTTATTTTGTACTTATTTTTTCAGTTATTTTATTAGTATTAGACAGTGTTACATTGTATTCATAGATGAATAGCAAGAACCTAATGCATCTTCTTGTCTTTAGGTATTTGTTTTCTTTATGTTTTGTTTCAGTAAAGCTATCTTTAGTTTATTATACTAATAAAAAAAATCATTGAGAGATATAAGTTGCCAGAATACAATGTAACGCTAACTGTTTAAAAAAATTTTGATACATATACTAGATGTTCTTTTGAGGGGTATCATTGGCATTCACTTAATATTCTTTTTTTTTAAAGATTTATTTGTGCATACAGAAATAAATAAGAGGTGCAGAGTGATGAGAGGATTCACCAGAGACAGAGTAGGGAGCAGAACACTGCTGAGGGGAGCAGTGGGTGGGTCAGGAGAAGTCTGCCATGCCATGTGGGTCACCTCCGGGGCGGGTGGGGATCAAACTCATGCGGAAGTGTCTTTAGCTTCTTAGTGCTGTGCTTTAAACCACTGTGCCATCAGGGGAGGCCCTCATTTAATATTCTTTTAATTAATGTTAGTAAAACTCTTTTTTTGTGAAGATAGAGTTAGAAATAAAGTAGCCTAAGGAATTTTTTTTTTATGAAGTATATATTTTGGTAAGGAGACAGTTCTATAGGGAGTTCTCACACATTTGAGCAATAGCAACTACATTGGGGCACACACATTATTTTATAAAATGATTACTGCATTTATAATTTTTTTCTTTTATTTGTTTATTCCTACAAAACCTGGGGTATAGGCCAGAGTTGTGGGGCGGGGGGTGGTGAGAGGACTTACCAGAGACTGAGTGGGGTACAGAACAGGCAGATCTATTGAAATACACTGCTGAGGAGAGCAGCAGACAAGACAGGAGAGGTACTCTGTGTCATGTGGGTCACATCCCTAGCCGGGGATCAAACTCATGCCACAAAGCTAACTCAGTTAGCTTGATAGCACTGAGACTAATCCCTTCACTACCAGAGAGGCCCACATTTTAAAGGGCAATACTCTGTGTTTAGGAACATGAATGTGACTTTTCAACATTTATATTGCATTTTGAAGCATGTAACCTTTGACTTATAAATAAAAACAAAGTCATCTATTCCATAGCTATAAGCTATACATTGATATTTTGTTGTTGTCTCTTATGAACTAAATGAACTAAATGTAATGTCTTTAGGAAGTTTGACCCTGACTATGACTGTTTCCCAGTAGATTCCAAGCATAAGCATACACGTATCTTTCTTAGCAAGTTATGAATGAACCAGTTTTACTGTGAGTAGAGATGCATTCTCATTAGGCATAAAAATCCCTTTTTATAGAGCAGGAAGTAAAATAATAGTGAATGCCAGACATACATCTACATGTGTTGTACCGGTATGAAGTTTGAAATAACAACTCTCTATTTTTAAAATACTGACCATTAAAAATTCAATCAGCATTGCTTATGAGTTGAAGCCAACATCAAAATACAATATTTTAGGTCAGAAAAATACAAAAAAACTTCAGGTGGTGTGGGTTCAGAAGAATCAAAGGTAAGGGGAAGAACGCATAATAAGTAAGATACACTCTTAAGTTCAACACAACATGTCCTTAGAGACTTAAATTTTGAGAGACAAGACATGAGATTTTTTTTTAAAGATTTATTTATTTATTTGTACAGAACTGGGGTACAGGCCAGAGATGCGGAGGGTGAGAGAATTCACCAGAGACAGAGCGGGGAGCAGAACAGGCAGATCGACGAAGTACACTGCTGAGGGAAGCAGCGGGCGGGTCAGGGGAGGTTTGCCACGCCATGTGGTCACCTCCGGGGCAGGTGGGAATTGAACTCATGCTGAAGTGGCTTTAGCTTCTCAGTGCAGTGCTTTAACCCGCTGCGCCACCAGGGAGGGCCAAGACATGAGATTTTGATATGACTTTTGATATGTGCTTAAGAAAATTTGTTTTATAAAATTCTGTTAATTCAAAACGGTAGAAATTTTAATTAAAGTGTGAAAGTTAGTTCAATAACTTGGCTTTCTAATTTTTATAAAACTCCAGTGAAGTGTTGATTTAATTACTGTTTCCTCATTGCCTAATGGCTTCAATCTCTCTCCATTCCCATTCCTGGGATTCTTAGTGTTTCTGGTCCTTTACACATAAACTTCTTTCTGTTCTTGGCTTTTACAAATACACTTGGAAATTTGTCTCCCAAACACACCTCCTCAGGCTAGGTACAAAGAACAGAATTGGACAGAACTGCTCTGTGAAAATATGTTTCCTGAGCATATAATGAGGTCAGTAAATACCAGTGTGAATATGTCACCCTAAATGTGGGGGTGATCATTTACAGGAGCTCAGTATACAACCATCTTGGTACTACTTGCCTGACAAATTGGAAGGACTGCTGGAAAAAATGACTAGATTATACTCATGAGTCTCAGCAAAATCATATCTACAGTTATGACATACTTATTTGATATAACCTACCTTCAAAGCATAGCTGAACTAACAAGATTATATCAGAAAACATGTTTATTTCCACAGGAATCATAGCCATAGCAGCCTCATAAAAATATATCCTTAAGAGGCAAATTTTTAAACTTTAAAAAAAAGATTTGTTTATGCATACAAGAACTGGGGTACAGGCCAGAGGTGCGGGCCTGAGAGGACTCACCAGAGACAGAGTTGGGAGCAGAACAGGCAGATTGACTAAAATACACTGCTGAGGAGAGCTGTGGGCTGGTCAGGAGAGGTCTGCTCTGCCATGGGGGTCAGCTTCCTGGCTGGGGATTGAATTCATGCTGCAGTGGGAGAGCCCAAATTTTACACTTTTAAATAATGGTATAAGAATGATCTAAATTAACTCTAAAATGAATGTCTCTCCATCCTTCTATTCCTATAAAAACCCCAAAAGACTAGTTTGTGCTGAATTTTTATTTTAATTTTAATTTTTTTAATTGAGGTAACACTGGCTTACATTATTGTCAGTATGTTGAAAGTATAGGATTCCCCCTCCCTCAGATATGCTAAATTTTTTAGAGATGACTGAAGAAACCTATTTTGCCACCCCCTACCATTTTTATATAGCCTGAAGTAAGCTATGTCTCATAGTATACATGTCACATAAATTAATGTTGCATTTATCCTACCTTTAAGGATATTTAAGAGTCATTTAGGTATTAATATAATATACATGATTTCAGGGGATAAACCACTTAAAATTATTTGTAATCCATAATTGCTAGAACCTCCTGTGGTTAAATGGACAAATCAAAGTTTTCTTATAAAATAAAAGAAGTCCTTTACATGCCTTCAATAGAATGGGTACAACCATTACTTGTTAAAAATTGTTCATAATTATAGGGGAGTTAAATTATAATCAGAGCTTATTCTTTTAAATTGATCTTCATTAAAGGGTTGTTCTGTCACACTGGCCTCATGAATGAATAATTCATAAAAACTTAAAATAATCATCTTCTCCCTATACCTCCCTCCCACTCACTCTGAACTTCCTTACCACACATCCATGACTGGTGGAAAGAAAAGAGGTTTTCAAATTGAAATAAAAGATTTAACTGTCACCTTACTTTCAGAAATCTTGAACAAATATGTACCAAGTCCCCATGCTTTGATTTTGTGACCAAGACATATTACAAAATTCTGAGCATTCTTAAAAATTTTCCAGTTGAGGGCCTCTCTTAACGGCTCCGTGGGTTAAGGCTCAGCAGCCACTATCCCCAGTCCATCTGGGACCTCCCTGGCCAGGAGCTGACTCCCATGGCACAACAGACCTCTCCTATTTCACCCGCTGCTCCCCTCAGCAGTGGATTTCAGTATATCAGCCTGTTCTGCTCCCCACTCTCCCTTGTGAATTTTCTCATGCCCTGTACCTCTGGCCTACACCCCAGTTTTTATATATATAAATAATTTTTTAATCTTTTTTAAAAATGTCCATAACTATCCTTTCACTTGGATTCATTGATTCTCAATACATCTTTTTCTTCCTCTGTTGATAATTTGGAAAGTGGGTTCATAGAAGACATTTTGTTCTCTTCATTCTGGTTCAGCTTTGGCATGATTCATGATGGAGAAGGCAATCCCTGTCGAAAGACTGAAGGCAACATCATGTCTCCCACATTGACGGGAAACAACGGGGTGTTTTCATGGTCTTCCTGCAGTCGGCAGTATCTCAAGAAATTCCTTAGGTAAGAGAGGGCCCAACCAAAAATATTCCTGTTTAAGTTGGTGACAGACAACAGACCAATAAGTGGAAAAAAATCTTTTGTTGTCTTCATGAATGCAAAGGCTGATACATTCCAGTGAGGATGATGAGGAGGATGTCATTGTTGATGAAAAGTAGAATTAAGACCTAATACTGTGCTAGACACTTCACATATTGCCTTATTCCATCCTCACAGCAATCCTATTATTCTAGAATTGAGGAATTTGAGTCTTGGTAAATTGTGTTGCTTTAAAGCCACACAGCTACTGAGTTGCAAAACTAAGACTTTCTCTTAAGTTTGTAGTATCTCTAAGAATTTTGCTTGCAACTGTTTCTCCTCTGTGACTTCCAGAGGCTGCTTCATGTATTGACTTTATTTTGTGACTAATTATTTTAATCTGCTCAATCAATTTGGTAACAAGGTTTTTTGTTTGTTTGTTTGATTGATTTTGCTTGGTTGGATTTTTTTAAATAAAGTACTACTATTACTTTATTACATCCTTGCTAATATTTGACAGCATAGGATTTCCCCCCAGTTGTAGTCTCTCCTACCACCAAAGTACCCATTGCTAAAAGGGAGTATTTTAAAAATTGCTAAAACACTGAGTTTTTTTAACTGAATGAAACATTGTTTTCATTGGCTGTTTTTTTTTTTGAAAGATTATTTATGCATACAGAATTGGGGTACAGGCTAGAGGTGCAGGGGTGGTGAGAGGATATACCAGAGGATTCACTGAGGAGCAGAACAGGCAGATTGACAAAGTACACTGCTGAGGGAAGCAGTGGGCAAGTCAGGAGAGGTCTGCCGTGCCATATGGGGCCGGGAATTGAACTGCTGAAGCGGCTTTAGCTTCTTAGTGCTGTGCTTTAACCCGATGTGCCACCAGGGAGGGCCCAATTGGCTGTATTTTTTAATGGCCATGATCTTGTTCTGTGTCCAGATAACCTCCCAAGGGGATGATAGATATAAAATCTATTTGAGAATTAAAGAACTCCAACATTGCATTAATAAAATGGGAGCTAGGAAGGTAGTAATATTTGATTCTTATAAAGTGATGGGCCCAAAGTTGACACTCTTTGGCATTTTCTTTAACTCTAAATTAATTTAGTTCTAATATATATTTCAACATTGACCATTATAACAGCATTATAGTTGTTGCTAAATATATAATTGTTAATTAATGTGGACTCACAAAAACATGTCAATTCTAAACCCATCTCCCTTTGACCAGATTTTAGGAAAGGATACTTTTTTTTTTTTTTTACCTTTTTGCTGCATATTACATGCAGATATTTACAGGCTTAAGAATACACGCAGACAAATCTGATTCAATGTAGGGATGTCTAAACAAATAATATACCAAAAGGTAGTAAAAATTGAATAAACCTTTTGTTAATGTGAAGTTTTGTCACATAGAATATTTTCCTGTTGATTTTAAATTTATACTTAAAATGATCTTTCCTATCTCCTGTGAGAATTGAATCCATAAATATTGTAAGTCTAGCACAACTTAATACAGATTGAATTTCCATTGTTAATATGATACAGTTCAGTGCTTTCAGATGATAATAACAGCAACAGCTAACTTTCAATGCTTATTATGCGACCTAAGTGCACCTCCATATGTTAGACTCCAAAACCATTCTTAAGTGCTATTTCACCTCTCATTGATGCCATATCTTAGTTATTTAGGTAAGTGGAAAAAAGATTCTTTCAACGAATACCCCCATTAGTAAAGCTGATTTTTGTCCCCTGTAACATGGCCTAATTAAGTATCTGCAGGGAAATTATTCTGCCTTATGCTCCAAAGGCTGATTGCTTCCTCCTGATATCTTTCAATAAACATGTTCATATTTTGTCTGTAAAGGTTATTTAAGGTAGAGTACATCTTTTACTGCTGTCCTGTCATCTGTAAAAATGACAGCATGACTTCTACTCCACGAAGACAGGTCTCTGTCTGGTTGATGTTGCCTAATGCAGATACAGAGTAGGCACTCAGGAATTACTTGTTGAATGTTGCTGAATGCAACCTTGGGAGAGTTTTCAGACATGTGATCTTTGCCATCCCCAAACAGACCATGCCAAATCGATGGCCATGCTTGATGGGAGCAAGGGAAAGCCTTTGTGACTGGAGCAGGTCCATCCTTCTAGACAGGACAAGGCCCACACTTTATAATGAATATGCATTTTCTTTTTAGGCCTGTGCTTATTTCTGTAGACATGTTATATTTCCCTTGGGATGAATGCATTCAAGGGTCAGTTGGTTTAAGAAGGAAGCGCAGAGAGGAAGACAGGAATTAAAAAGGTCGTGTTGTCTCTGCAGTACTCCTCAGGCTGGGTGTCTGGTGGATGAGCCCAAGCAAACAGGCCGGTATGAATATCCAGACAAACTACCAGGACAGATTTATGATGCCGACACCCAATGCAAGTGGCAATTTGGAGCAAAAGCCAAGTTATGCAGCCTTGGTTTTGTGAAGGTATGTTGGCTTGTGATTTCAAAGTTACATTAAGATTCAGTGGCTGTCTGTATACCTAACAGTAGTATAAACATTTGGTTTGCAAAGGCCAAAGGTCAGTGTCTGGGTTATCTCTGAATGTCAGTTGTGTGGCAGGATAGTTAAGTGGCAATTTTGCTGTCAATGAATTCTCAGGCTTATCCCCCATGGGCCAGGCCTGGTTAAAATACCTTTGGACACTGCATCGTTGCAAAAAAGTTCCTCCTCTGTAGACAAAGATTCTCACAAGTTGTAAATCTGGGTGCAAATAGCTTTTCCCTACTTCTTGTCAATGTTTTTGTTATGGCTGAGCTCATATGCTCTTTTGATGTCATACTTTTAAAATCACCGTCACCTCAAAATACATCCATATATGCCTTTCACAATATGTGAGCACTGTTGCCAGTAGCCAAGTTTTTAATTTGGTCATGCAGGGTGTAACTTGAGTAATCTCAGTAAGATTTTTGTGTCACATATTTCATTCAATAGTGGGAGAAAGACCGATGGGAAAAAGCAAAAATCCAGAGGGTGGGAAGAAGAGAGACAACATTGCAGTCAAACACTGTACTTTGCCATCATTAAAAAACAGAATCATTTTAAAGTCATTAAGTCCTAGTATTCAAAGGAAAACATGGAAATCCCAAATATCTGCATATTGGAAGCAAGGTTCATTACATCTCTTCCCTTCCCTGTTCCTATGCTCCCTTTTCCTCTTCCCCTTCTTCCACCCACCACTATCCCCTTTATGATCATCACCATCATCTTTACCAACAGGACCCCACCTCCATATCACCAACACCACTAGAACTGCCACAACCAGCATCACCCCACTTTCATCACCATCCACTATCACCTCCAGTAGGGGCTAAGTGAGCCTTTGTTTGACGGTCCATTAGCCACTCCTTATATTCTTCCTCAGTCGGCACAAAAACCCTTTGAACTGTCACCATGTTTCACACAGAGCCCAGAGAATGTATTTCTTTTTTCCAAAGTCACAAAATTTTTGAATCGAGGAATCCTAACACAGCACATCAGCTGAGCTCCTTCTCTCTGTTAGTTCATACCAGCATCTCCTAAACTCCTGTCATCAGAATTAACTAGCAGTCATTAAGAATTTGCTTCATTGTTTGTGCTATATCTCTGTATTGTTGCTTTTCTATATTTCAACTCATCTAAAGTAAGTCCAGTTTCAAGAAATATAACCAATAAATCACAGCTTTGATAGAGGATTGCATAAGTTTCTTCTATGATTTATTTTTTATGTCTATGTGTGTGTGTATATATATGTATATATATATGTACATATACTTCATTATTTGTTTTGTGCATTTTTGCTTTCTCTCAGGTGTAATCCCTATAAAATTCCCACCATCAAGTCACCATAGTCTCTTGTGCTCTTCCTATCCCTGTTTTAACTCCTCTCCCTCCACTGCCCCTGCTGAATGATTGAGAGCTGCCTGCTAGGTTTGTCTTTTTCCCCTGACCCCCTATTTGGTTTCCCTATATTCCTCCTGTAAAAGAAACCATCTGACTTGTTTGAAAAAGCATAATCCCTTCCAGCCCCATCCATGTTGCTGCAAATGGCATGAGTTTACTTTTTTAATTGTTGAATAGTATTCCATTGTGTATACATACCACATCTTCTTGACCCAGACATCTCTTTGGGGGCACTTAGGTTGTTTCCATATCTTAGCTATTATAAATAGTTCAGCAATAAACATAGCTCCTATAATTTATATGTCTAACTATTAGAAAAGTTTTGCCATACACCGTCAAGCATTATTTTTAATGTATCCTTCATGGTTCACAGACCTCACATTGGCAAATGCTGCTGTGTCGTAAGTATAGATTGACAAGTTCACAATTATTTCTGATCAAAAGTTTGTACTTTTGGCAGAAGTAAGTAGCCATTCACTTTGCTTTAGAAAAGTTTGTTTCTTGTTTGCTTTATTTTAGAAATATTCATCAGCTTACTCATTCACCAATCAAATATTTAATAAGCACGTCCTATGCACTAAATGCACAATTGGTAATGGATTTGTTTTACTTTAAAAGTATAAAAGATCTACAGCCAGACCACCCTGATCACACCCTACTTCATCTAAAAGTATAAAGGAAGTCCCCGAAATAGCTGTCATTCCTTCAGGAGCATACATTCAACCAGCATTTTGGGGTGACCTTTCTATATCAAGTAATATGCAGCGTTTAAACCACCACTCTAAAAGTCTAGAGCTTAATGGGGACATGTCACAGATCTTCACTGTGATGATCTTCCCCGAGACGCAGAGCAGAGAGAAATGGAAATGCCAGACTCAAAGAATAAAATGAAGAAAGGCAGAAAGATTAGACTGTCTCGGGGTAGGGAGAGATCATTTGTGATGATGCTGAGGTGAGATAGAGAAGGTAGGGTTGTGGGGGTTGGGACATCTTTTTGCCCCCACAGCCTAGTTTTGGGTATTAGCCTTAATCCTGTTTATAACTGGACCCATGGTTACAGCTTTCAGGATTTTAAATCGTTCCTGACAGGCCCTACCTAATCATTCTGTTGGTCTGAACAGTGCAGCAGGTACATATCCAAGGCAGGAAAAGGATGAAGTTCATTTTCGGGCTCTTAATAGTCATCATAGTCCTATCATGACTTTCCCTTTCTAACTTTCTCTTCTCCCTATCTGTTATCTTTTTCTCTGTGTCTACTAGAAAGGCAGGCTCCTGAGTGGTTAAAAAACCAAAATAATAATAATTATAATAATAAATGTTATGTTATAAATATTCTTACTGTTCACAGTGTCCTCCCCAACCAGCAGAAACACTGTGTCAGTATCACCTGGGAATTGTTAGAAATCCAGATGCTTGGAGTCTTCCCAGGCCTGAGAATAAGACTTGGGAAAAAGGGCCTGGTACTCTATATTTTAACAAGAGTTTAACAAGATGGTTCTGCTGTGTGATAAAGGTTGAACACTGCTAAATTAGTCTTTCGTTTTACACGTACACACATCATTTGGCTTAACAGTTAGACCTAAGCTTACTCCACTCCTTCATAGAACCTTGTGCAGAAGACATAAGCACTCTTAGCTTTTGTGTCCACATCTGTCAGCAGAGGGTACTGTTAGCTCCTCCCTGGGGGCTGTAAGGAGAAATTGCTTGGGACAGTGGCACCACTTGGTGAAAGACAAGGTTTTCTTCTTGATGCCTCTCAATATCATCAGCACCACATCACTCCTGTTCTTGCAAAGTGTCTTCCTCACCAAAGCAATCTGAGGCTGGCTATTCATCAGCCAAGCCTCTTCCCACTCTCACATTTTTATTGTGTTTGGTATATCAACCCTGCTCTCTGTTGCCTTTTGAAGTGTTCCAGAAAAGGAGTTGTTGATCTGGCTGATGGCTCCATTTGTTAAAAGAGGATTCCATCTCTAGCAGCTGGGGAGAACATGGTGATTGCACCCTTCTTAAATGCTCCCTGACCATCCAGTGAATGGATGCCATTTGCCAGCAAGTCTCAACCGTTGATGCCTCCAATGGTTATTTTGCTAAGTGAGACATGAGCAGCCCTTGTTCTGTGCCCCAGTAACCTGAAAAATTACTGTCACTTAGCAGAAACTGGCTAAACCTTCATTTATGGACATACTAACAAGGTTTAGAATAAAAGTGATGGAGAAGGTACTTGAATTCTAATGAGTATTTTCAGGCATGTCTCCTCAGAGAGCACTTCCTTTGAAGGAAAAGACATGCCAATGATAGTTAAATTGGCCCTTCTTCTTTCAAGAGTTCTACATTGGGAACAAGAATGGAAAATAAACAGGTGCTGCTTGGTGTCTAAATCACTCTGACTTCATAATCTGCTACACTTACCACATCACATTCAACTTTAGTTAACTCTCCCCAGGGTTTTAGGTCCCAACTCTATTAATGTCTATATGCTTTGCAAACATTTCCTGTTGTCATGTATACAAGCTTTTGTATACATTCTCCCCAGCCTAGATATCCATGTGACAAATGGCTAATTATTTCTTATTGTTGGTAAAGATTCTCCAAGAAGATGAAACATTCCTTTCTCTGGGCTCCATCTCCACCTTTATGCTCATGCTGCAACCTCACACTATGTACATTTCTTGCTCCAGAAGATGCTGTCTCTAAGTGCCTCGCATTAACCTAATATGCCACAGTGATTACTGTAGGATATATTAAGGAAAATTCTTAGCAGCATCCACTTTTATTTTAGAATATCAAAATTGCCAGATTCTTTCACATTTCTTTTTTTTCATGAAAACTTTCAAAGTCTTCATTACAAGTGAACACTTTTCAACTATAAGTGATTTTTACTCATGTTTGATTTATTAGGAAGTGTTTATGAATCCCTGCTTTGTACTACTTCCTGTTCTAAGGGTACATCAGAGAAAACAAACAAAGTAATCTTCCCTGTGACACTGACTTTCCACTTGGGGAGACAGACAATACACAATAGACATTATAAAATGATGATTGCAAAGCACAGATAGAGTAGACTAAAGGACAATTAGGAAGGTAATTGAATCATGGCTGATTACATGGAGGAGAGATTAAGGCAGACTTGAAAGAGTGCCAGAAGGGCTGTTCAGATAGTTGGAGAGATAAAGTGTAAAGGCCCAAGTTTTGAGAAAGCCTGAAATACAGATCAGAAGAGAAACCAACCCTATTAGAGCAGAGTGAGCAAATGGTACACTCACAAGACGTTGTTCAGAAAATGAAAGGGGACTTGATTGTATGTGGCTTGCTAAGGTAATTCAAGGACTTCTTAACTTTTTCCCAGTGAAATAAGAAGTCATTGCATGGTCTTGAGTAGAAGAGTCATGCGATCTCACTGAGTTGACTTGGAAGGCTTGCTCTGTCTCAGTACTGTCCGATGGAATGCTCTGTAATGATTCAATATGATTGCCACTCACCATAGACAGAAGAACCTATATAAGTAGCCAGTTACCATAAATGACCACTGAGAACTTGAAGTGTGTGGGAAGTTTTACTTTAAAGTCACATTGAAATACCACATGTTCGGGTGGCTACCATATTGGGCAGCACAGTGCCTACCACTTTAGTTACCATGCTAAGGGTGAACTAAGGATGGGCAAGGGAGAGGTGGAGTGCTTGTAAAGAGGCTATAATAGGAATTCTTGTCTGAGGTGGAACAAAATGGTAGCAATGCAGATGGCAATAATTGTTCAGATTCTATAACTATTTTGAAGATAGAACCAATGCAGTTTCCTGATCTAGTGCAAGATTTCTGCATGGAATGTGGGACAAAAAAGTCTCAAAGATGACTACTCTAGGATTCTTGGCTTCAGTCACTAGAAGTAGCAGGGTATCGTAACGTGACCTGGAGAAGGTGTGGATGGGCAGAAGATGAAGAACTTGGTTTGGAGAGTTTAGGTTGGGTATACTTAATAAATTTGATTTGCAGGATGTCAGATTTCACTTGGGCCCCAGCCTCCATCCTTAAGAACAACTAGAGATCGTGGCCAATGAGTGACGACAAAATACTATATGCCTTGCAGACTCTTCCTTTAAATACCACATCCAGGCAACATGAGAGCCTGGAATCTCTGTGGTTATTTTTTTTTTTTTTCTGTCTTAAATTATGACCCAAGATGAGGGAACTGTAGATAAGGAAAAGTTACTTGAAAATGCCAGGGGGTGGAGGGAAGAAGGAAGAATGAGCAAAAAAATACAAACTCCCATTTCTGTTTACTTTGAAAAGGAGCTTTCTCAGAGGACTTTCATGGTCATCAAAGCATGTAGTTGGCTATAATTACATTTGACTTCTGTACTTCACCACAAAAGAAGTAACATGTTCATATAGCCTGTCTTATTTCACTCTGGAATCCCTGTGTTTTTGTGTTTTGCTTGATTTTCCTGGTCCTCTCCAGCTACCCTGACCTTGGTCTTGTGGCTTGGTGTTGATGGTGGCTTCTAGGGGTCTTTTGCTTTGGTCCAGCCCTGTGTCATTGTATGAGCCACCACATAGGCTATCAATGTGCTTTCCATTTTCCCCCTGGCTAGTAGAAGGAAAACAATTTAATTTTGATAGACTGTCTATCAGTGGCTTTCATTGTGTCATTGGTTACCTCTTACTCTTCCACTTTGATGTAGACTGTTCTTTTTCCACCTTAAACTGTTCCCCTCAGTCCTAGGGAGAGAAGATACAGGAAGAGATGATGAACATGATTCATTGGAAAGCTGCATCATGCTTTCTACTAATGTCAGGGGCAGGTCTGTTTCCATGGAAAACATTTGTACGTTGGGTCTTCTGAGTTGTTTGGGGATGCGTGGCCTATTTCAGGCACTGCTACTGGTGGTGGTGGTTTCCAAGCAGATGTCCTGAACATCCTTCCATTTTTTTGGTGAGGGTGAAGAATTTTATGGCCTACAAGACCAGACTCACTGCCTGTATCACTGATTTCCCTGTGTTTTCTTTCTTAGTCTTGTGGAAACTTTTCATGTGTGAAATATTTCTAAGCATGAGCTTGCCATAATTTTCAGCCATGAAATCTATATTAGTGGGCACATGTGGGGGAGTTGGGTGCCTGGTTAATTGAATTTTCAAGGTTACAACAGGTGACCGCAAAAACCGTTTTGTCTCCTCCCGGGTTGTCAGTATTTTTCCCAGAATGAATGTTCCTCATTTCTACCTCAGTCGATTGAATGTGGCAAACAAAACAGGGCCCCTTTGGCAGCTCATGACTTAGCTATTCCTTCAGGGATGTGATGCTGAACAGCAAGTTCAGCTTTTTGCACTGGAAGGAAACTGTTTCAGCCCCTTTATTTTATAGATGGGCAGTGGAGGCCTGGGGGTGTGAGGAGTTTTCCAGCATTTATCAGTGGCAAATCCATTTCTGGAGCAGTAGTCATGAACTGACTCTGGAATCAGGCCAGCTTGAGTTTTTGCCTTTGCCATTTACCACCTGTCTGTTCACAGCTTTGAAAGTGACAGCAGCATGCGCAGTTACCTCATCTAAATGAACTTACATGAGAAAAATCAGCGGTTCCTCAAATAATGACCTTTTCATTCCACATTCAAAGTTATAACATTGATGAATGGAAAATATCCAGCCAATGTTGAACAAAACCCCATTATTCATAGATGTAGCTATACATCATTTTGCTAAAAATGTTAACTTCCACAAACCTATTGACAGCATCAGTAACTGTAGTTGAGTGTCCACCACTAAAGGATGATGGTCATGCTGTTAGTTTTACAAAGATATTGTAATACATTTCCATACACTTAGTGACTTAAAACAACACAAACTTATTTCCACACTCTTCTAGAGGTTGACATCTGAAATAATGCCAACAAGATTACAATCAAGGTGAGGTTGTGTTTCTTTGGTAAGCTCTAGAAAAGAAACAACTGCGTTACCTTCTCCAGCTTCTAGAAGCTTCCAGCATTCCTTCCTCTGTCTTCATAACCAGCAACTTCCTTCTCACTCCTCATTCTGCTGCCTTCTCTCGGATTATCTTCTGTCTTCCTCTTCTTCCCCATTAATGACCCTGGGGATTACCTATGGATCGTCTGGAAAATGTCACATAGTCTTCTCATCTCAAGGTCAATCAATTAGCAACCTCAATGCCCTCTGTAACTGTAGTTTTACTTTGCTATATTTTTTGCTATATAACCTCACCTATATATATATAGGTTCCAGGGATGAAGGCAAGCTCATCTTTGGGGATGATTGATCGCAGTCAGTTATTTCATAGCTCTGGTGTGAGAATCATCAAAATGCTTGAAAGTTACTACATAGTTGAAGAGGATAACAATAGGCTTAACAATAGGCTGCTAAGCCTACTGTTGGGAACAACCTCAAGAGGCAAGTGCTGATTTTACTGTTTGACTGGTGAGGAAATTGCAGCTTATGAGGCTCTGTCACATGTCCATAGGACATGCAGCCTGGAATTCCAGGGCAAGGATTTGAAGCAAATGTGCTCTACTGCAGTCTTAGCCTATTGCTTCATTGGATGACGCTGTTGTTATAGGCCAGGTCTTTTAGTGTCAAGTCCACTGTTCTTGGAATTTACTGTTCCCTCCTAGTCATCACTAACCACACAGATTAGGATGGTAGAGCAGAAACTGTCTGCTCGTATTTTCCTAGTATTCATGGGGCATCTGGCTGTTGGTACCACCTTCAGTGGTCTTCAGTGGTCTTCACTTCCTGGATCACTTGTCTCACATCAGCCTCCTCAGAATATAATATTATGTGTCAAACCTATGAAAATTTTCATCTCTATTGATTATCACCCTTACCAGTCCCTTCTTTCCTTTCAGGACATTTGCAAATCACTTTGGTGCCACCGAGTGGGCCACAGGTGTGAGACCAAGTTTATGCCGGCAGCGGAAGGGACCATCTGTGGCTTGAGTATGGTAAATTGCATACTTGTTAGTTTTTAGTTCTCCTAACTTGATAAGGCCAACGACCCAGATTTTCTGTACTATGAGCTTAGAATGGAATGTCTCAGTTGCATGTATTGCTAGATACTCTTTAACTAGGAGTATCTAGCAACTACTAGAACACTCCTTGCTGATTATTACTCAGCTGGCTCAAATTGCTTTAGACATTTTTTCTTTGTGTTGTTTTCCTGTGTTAGACATAGGCTTGGGTCAAAATATTGCTATTTCAAAGGGCAGGTAGCTTTCATTAGAAACCATTTTCCTTTCCACAGCAGACATCTCCTGTCTTACCCACTGCTCTAGCCCTATGAAGCTCTCCACAGTCACTGCAGCACTGAGTTCGATTCCCAGCCGGGGAGCTGACCCACATGGTGCACAGACCTCTCCTGTCTCACCTGCTTTTCCCCTCAGCCTTGTATTTCAGTAGATGTGCCTGATCTGTTCCCCACTCTGTCTCTGGTGAATCCACTCACCTCCCCCCCCACTACACACACCTCTCGCCTGTACCCAGTTTCTGTGTGCATAAATAAATAAATCTTTAAAAAATAATAATAATTAATAATCAGGGCAGGGGAACTTTGAGGAAGCCAGTAACTCTCCTTAAGCATGAAGTTGCTATTAGGGTTGTAGTGAATGAGAAAAGCATCCTACTCGGGATTAGATGTACATTAGAATAAATTCTGGTGAGTGGTATCTCAAGAGGGATATTGAGATTAAAGCTGAGGGAGAGAGACTGTCAATAAAAGCAAAGATGCAGGTACAACAAGTGAGCGTTCAGAGAATAATTCTGGCATTAAGGCATTAACCCAGAATCTCTTAAAGGACTGAACTTCCTTGGAGGGGGGAAACACTCATCATTCTTAGCTCTTGTTTTTTGTTTTTTTTTAAAGAAAAACATTTGTTAAATGGAGGGGTCAGGTGCAATTTTTAACCAGATACTTGGGTCTTAGGATGCCCTCAATAAGCATTTTTCTGACAAATGTACATATGAGCATTGTAGCTGCAATAAGAAAATGTATCAATCAAGTCAGAGAAAAAGAAGCACATCTTAAGTCATTTTTTGTTGTAAAGCATCAAAATTTAGAACTTACAACTGACTTACTGGACAGTGTTTGCATTAAGAAAGCAGCAATATAAGAGAAAACATAAGAAATAATAGCATATGTAAGGAAAATAAGTGATCCGTTGTACAGGGCTGAATTTATTACATAAATACACCTGGGATCTAACTCCATGGGCACTAAAATGCATTAGGTTTCAGTTAATCTGAGGAAGATCAAGCAAGAAGCTAGAAAATAAATGCCCTCGCCCTATTCCCTCCACCGTACAGTGTTAAAACACCATTAGAGGTCCTCCCTGGTGGCGCAGCGGGTTAAAACACTGCACTGAGAAGCTAAAGCCACTTCAGCATGAGTTCGATTCCCGCCTGCCCTGGAGGTGACCACATGGCGCGGCAGACCTCTCCTGACCCGCCCGCTGCTCCCCTCAGCAGTGTACTTCGTCGATCTGCCTGTTCTGCTCCCCACTCTGTCTCTGGTGAATCCTCTCGCCACCCCTGAGCCTCTGGCCTGTACCCCAGTTCTGTATGAACAAATAAAAAAATCTTTAAAAAAAAAAAAAAAAACACCATTAGAAAGCCTGGCGGTAAGTCCCTTCTGTCTCCACGCCAGCATAGTTTTTACTGCAGTCACATTTGGAGTTCACCAGCCTGCCTCCATTGGGGGACAGGATTTGCTGTCACTGATACTCCCAGAGCCTCACCTGAGTAGTGTTTTACTTGAGGTCTCTTGCAGAGCAGTGACAGCTCCATGTTTTGTTTGTTTGAAATGGATCCTTCCCCATCTCTCTCAAATTGCTGGTCCTTCCATGATAGTTGAACCACAAATACTCAAATATTTTCATGTTGAAATCCCTGTGCTTTTATTATGTCCTGGCTTTTAATTACAAGCAATGATAGAAATACATATGAGTAGACAGATGTATTTATATAATTTATATAAATTTATATAATTTATAATCATGCATATGAGTTGTATATGTAAAACTTCATACACATGTGTGCACTGTTGCATGTGTATATGTTCTGTTTAGACTTAATTTCTGTACTAGTCAAGAAAACCAGAGGAAATGCTCTGTCATCCCTCTACCCATGTTTACAATGACAACAGGAATAAAAGAAAGTCAGCTTAACTGAAGGTTGGAACATGTGTAAGAGCCACATTTGTGAGAAAGAAATTAGACTCAAGTGAAGATACACTGGTGGGTGCTTGATCTACAAGTTGAAAAGTATTTATGGAGCATTGGCTATTGAATTTATTTAAATCTAGCCTCATCTGTAGTTGTAGATACTCTAACAACCGTTTGACAAGTTAGTATTTTGGGGGGGGGGTTAGTTTCTCTAACTATTAACTCTAATCCTGGCAAGGATTTTTTTTTAAAGATTTATTTATTATTTAAGCACACAGAGCTGGGGTGCATGGGGCACTGAAGTGCAGGGGCAGTGAGAGGATCACCAGAGACAGAGTGGGGAGCAGAACAGGCAGATTGATGAAGTACACTGCTGAGGGGAGCAGCAGGCGGGTCAGGAGAGGTCTGCCACGCCATGTGGTCACCTCCTAAGCTTGGGGTCGAACTCACACTGAAGCAGCTGTGGCCAGTTTGCAGTGCCACGTCCTAACCCATTGCACCACCAGGAAGGGCCCTGATCCTGGCAAGGATTTTATTAGCTGCTACATGTGAAGGCTTCCTTCCCAACCTACTCCCTACCTGTACTGTTTCTGGCACATAGAAGCAACTTCATAAACTGTAACTACTGTTGCTGCTACTATTGTTGGTGCTGGCATTTGTTCTTGTTGTCTGTTGTTGCTGGCTATTTCCACTGCTGTTGACTATTTTTATTATTGTTGGCTATTCTTGTTGGCTATTGTTCTTGCTGGCTGTTGTTCTTGTTGACTATTGTTCTTGTTGTTGGCTATTGTTCTTTGTTGGCTATTGTTCTAGCTTCTGGCTGTTGCTGTTGTTGTTACTTTGTCTCCACCACTGAGCTAAGGTCCAAAGAGTCCCAGAGATTTCCTGGTCCGGAAGATCCAGATTCATGCTTATAGTAAACAGAATCCTCAAATGACCGATTGCCTTCCTCTTAAAAATTTTCAACAAGGTTATATGATTTCGTGCAAGCTCTGAGATGACAATTAATTCTGGGGAAAGAAAAATTAGAAACAGAAGAAATAATCAGCATATGGCAAGAATTTGAAGAAAGGAAGCAATATCTTGACCTAGACAAAGCACACTAGCCTCATAATAAATAGCCATGAAGCCAGATGCATCACCAAGTACTTAACTTGAAAGCCAAGTGAAGATCTGAAAGTCAGACAGCCTCCCCTTAATTCTGTAACCAAATCCCAACTCCTCTGCAGAATCTGGCACAGTCCAAACCCAAACCTTTTGGATCTAATTGCTGAAGCTTTTAGGAAAGTGTGCTAAGTCATGCAGAAGTTGCTCATAAAAAAGCACCACGGAGGAGAAAATAACTGACACCAAAGCCTCATGCAGCCCACAATGCAGAGATGACCAGGGAGCCTGGAATGTGTCCCAGTGGAGAAGTAATACAGAAAGGTTAGCACAGCAGACACCTCTGCCGGAGCTTGAGCCAGGCATTGCCACATGAGAGACCCAGAGCTGATTGAGGCAAACACTCAGCTCAGCATCATGAAGAGCTAAGGACACATACACAAAAAGAAAGAAAGCCAAAGGGTGAACTCTGAGAGCACAGTTTGCTTAGACTGGAAGTTACTCAGTTTCATGAGAAATGCTTTCCAGGGCTTGGTCTGGAATAAATGTGCACCTTTATATCTCTTTGTAAGATGAGATCATTATTCAGCTCAGTACATTCTGTGTTCACATCCTCAATACTGGTTCTTCAGGTTGTTCTTTAAGCAGGGCTCTTCTGAGCAACAGGGGTTGACCCTGGTGTGGCTGCATCTGTGCCGACCCCGGTCTCTTGGGTCGCCTGAGTGTCCGATGCTCAGCCTGTGGGCAGCAGATGTCTAGATGTCAGTTTCAGAAAATGCACATGGTCAACTTGGTGTTTTTAAATGTAGCCAGCAACAAAGTCCTTCTCCCACCTGCCCCTTGTTCTCCCCTTTGCCTGCAGACTGGTTTTTCTTGTTCACAGGCAGGTGTTTGCCTCTTGTTGAGCTTTCCCAAGGTGGCCTCTGACAGGAAATGTGTCACACATTCTTTTCACAGTGGTGTCGGCAAGGCCAGTGTGTGAAGCTCGGGGAGCATGGGCCCCGGCCCGTCCATGGCCAGTGGTCCTCCTGGTCGAAGTGGTCAGAGTGTTCCCGAACTTGTGGTGGAGGAGTCAAGTATCAGGAGAGACACTGCAATAACCCCAAGTAAGGCTCCTGCCCAAAGTCGGTGTTTATAAGACGTTAACCTTCAGCAGGTAACATGCTGGGTTGGGTTTGGTTTTTGTCTTTTCGTTCTGCTGATGCACCATTTAGAGTCATGGCAGTGAATAGTAATCACTGGGGTTTTCCTGGGTTCGTCAAAGGGCTGCTGCTCTGGAAAAGGTATGGTGGACAGAAACTAAATCCTGGGAAGTGTAATTCTTAGTGTGAGTATCTCAGTGTGAATATGATAGTCATGGGCCAGAGCAGAACCATTTTCTGAATCTAAGCTGCAGCCACAGCTCCATGCCCGGTGCTGTATAACTGAGAAGCTTGGCTGTTGGGACGCGTGTGTCTGTAGAGCTGATGGGCTGCAGACAGTGTGCTGATCTTTGCCTTCCAGGAATACACATCAGCACATGCTGACAGATCTGCCTGACTTTCCAGGAGAAAACAGAAATCCAAAAAAAAAGCCATGTGGACAGTTTCCCAATTCTTGGAAATATTGACAACAATTCAACCTCCTTTCAAAGTAAAATGAATGCAACACATTGAGGTTGAGACACACCATCAATGGCTTGAAACTGGGTCGTGTTTATTGCCAGGCACCCGTTGGTCTCACCGTGCTGGGAGGCAGAATGCAGATACTCGCACCTGCTCTAATTCCCACGTAGGAAGCACCTGAGCTGTGTACTTCTCGATCGACATGGTGATGTAGAAAACAGCTCAGGTTTGAGAGATGGGAAGATAGGACTCCAAATCTTTGGTCTGCCACTGACTAACTGTGACTTAGGTTTACGTGTAATAATGAAGGAAATAAAGCACGGTCCCAAAGGTTTGGGAGGATTCGGAACTGAATCTGTACACTGTTATATACACCAAGGAGCATCCAGTGGGCCTTAAGCAGAAGATACCAGGACCCATGTGGTTTTCACCATCTTTACCCAAACCTCATCAGGATCACATAGTAACAGATGGTCAACCCTCAGAAGGAGCGGGGAGAGGCCTTGCTGATGAAATTGGGCTTTGGAAAATGCAGGGAAGGAGAGTGAAAAGAAATTGATAAAACCCGGGGAAGCAGTAGATTGAGTTTTACAACACCATTTGAGTGTTGGCACAGCCTGGACATTAAGAACATAGACTTTTAATCCCAAAACAACCTGGGTTTGCCTCCTGGCCTGTCATTTCTAAACAGTTTTTTCTCCCGGCTCTAGATTCCTCATCTGTTAAAAATGGGGTAATGACACTCCTCCCTCAACTTGAGTCACTATGTGTAAAGTACTTTTAAAAAGTGCCTGGCATGTTGTGAGCATTGCATAAATGTTTGGAAAACCGAGAATTAAAACAAATAATGAAAAGAGAGCAAAAAGACATTTTAAGAGAAAAATGGTATTTCATCTGAGTCAGCAGTCTGAGATGGATAAACAGACTAATTTGTTCCAAAATATAGGGGAAGTGTTGGGACATACCCTGACCATGGTTTCTTGCACCCTTTTTGGTATATCTCAGACTAATCCAAGATTTCTCAACTTCGGTACTACAGTTTCTAGGGAGGAGGGTTTTTTATGGTGGGGGATTTTCCTGTATATGATTACACTGGGACATGGATACCAGGAGATGCCTCCCTCATCCCCCAACCTCCAAGCTGTGATCATCATCCCAGACATTGCCATAGGTGTACTGTAGGGGGCAGTAATGAGAACCAGTCACTAGGTATGATGATTGGGGGCTTGTGATACCTTTACAACCTGTACTAGATTATTAAAACCCACCCTCCTCACACTTTGAGTGTAACCCATGTCTTGGACAGAATCATTATAATGATTATATTACTTTTCATTTTTGCAGCATATTTCATGGCTCTGGTTATCATACATCACAACATTTTACAATCTCGGTATTTTCCCAAGAAAGAAAGAGATTACCTAATTTAATAACTCTGCTGGTAAAGTGCATGAATGACACCCCTGAGATTTAAATTAAAATCTCTCTCATATCTTCAGGGTTGAACACTCTCATTATAATAAAGCATTGTTCATGGAAATACCACACTGTAATTTTAGAGATGCCTAATAAAAGAATTAATCACTAAAGTAGTTCCACTTGGTACAGTTTTCTCATTTTAAACAAGACTAAGGTTAATCAGGATAGTGTTTAATTATGCATGAGAGAAAACAAATAAATGATCAACTATCCCAAGACGATTGAATTAGTTGCTCTCTGTTCTGATTTCATGTTGTAGTAAAACTGTTTTTCCCTATTTCAAGTTCCTGATTTCTTTCTCCAGTTAAAGCATTTGGTCTGTCCACATCACTCAACCTAACTCTTTGCATTTTGTTTCATGTGAAAAGCAGTGTGAGCTTTTTATTTCCCATCATGATGGCTTTCCCAGAACATATTTTGTTTCATCAAAAATGAATTATTCCTGGCTGATTCTTGAGTTTGTACAGCCTTTCAATTTCAAAGGAGTTTAAAGGTTATCTGATTCTGTTTTTCTGAAAGGCACATACACCCCTTCTTTTTTCCCACGTCCATGGCAGACATGTTTAATTGGCTGAAGTCCAGTTTTCTACGAAAGCCTGCTCTGCTCAGGAGTCTTCTCAAAAATACTTCTCCAGGCATTGACTGTCAGTTAGGTGAGAACAGGGACATGCACTGCCTTCTGTGATCTTATGCAGTGTTTCCGGGGGGGGCAGTAGGGCCATTCAGAGCAGCCCTTGACCAGGTCACAACCTGGCAGTGGCACAGCCTGACCAAAAGCCTGTTGATCACTTTTCTGGCTCCCTAATATTTGATTACTAGCCTGTAGAAGAGCCTGCTAAAACTATACTCAAGAAAATGTGTAGTGTCACTAAGTGCCCAAATTCAATATTCAAATATTCAAACGAAAATTAAAGGGACAAAGGCATTCTAAAATGCTCTTCAAAAATCTCTCCTGAAAAAGAATGCTATAAAACTAGACTCATAACACCAGAATAATAATTGAATCATATCTCTGGCCCATTTTCCACAGAGTAAGTTCCAGGCATTGCTGATTATCAGCATCGCCAAACGTCCTTTAAGAAACACTGATTTCTGGATCTTCCCCCTTGTATAATCTTATTGAGAAAGCCTGTGAAAAGAACCAGGGATATTTACATATTTATATTATGTTACATTTATATTTTATATTATTGTGTATTATATATGCACACATACATACTGTTGGATATAGGTTATAATGTATATTACATTTATTTTATGCCATACTTTATATATTTTGTATAGATAATGTATATATATTAAATATATTTATAATATATGTATGTTACATATGTATATGTTATAACATATTATATATTTGTGTATTACATATTTGTGACATTATGTATGTTATGCATTCATTTTATATTTGTATGCATTGTACACATTAGATAGATAGATAGATAGATAGATAGATATTATATATAAAATACCTTCCAAACTCATTCTTACAGTAGCCAATCAGCCAGCATTGTAACCATTTATAGTGAGGATATAATAAATTACTCAGAAGCAAACATGGGTGTGTAATAATATAATTAGCTAATATAATTTATAGTTATATTAGGTGTATGATTTTACAATAACCTAATATAAAAACAAATTAGGTACATAATAATAAATATTAAGTGCATAGTTTTATAATAGCCTAATATAAAAATAAAATCTTCTGCCTAGACATTTCTTCTGACTATATTTTATATTTTATATATTTTACTCTTCAATGGTATACTAGTAAAATTTTCTGTTAATTTATGCTAATGGACATTTTTAAAGATACAGAAAAATGGTGACTTAGAAGATTTAGTGGAAAATTCTAAACTTTTAACATAGAATTTATTTGAGCTAACTCTGTCCTCAATTTTTTACACACATTGCAATCATCAGAACTGTTCACATTTTACAGAGTAGGAGGTTCAGTACAATTGCTTATAGATAAAGTGGGAAGAGACAAAGAAGATTGAAAGCCTCATTTGCCCCATTTGTAGCTAGCTGCCTAGTCTTCGTGACTTCCTTTTCCTCTTCCTTGCTTGGCTCAGCCAAGAAAGACTAGAGAATCCTAGAAAGTCAAAGGTCTGAGCTCAGCTCTATGTCTTCCTAATGGTGAGCTTCACACAGCAAACTTTGCCTGCTCTTCTATAGAGTCACTGCTCATGTCTCTATAAAATGAGCAATGTCTCTGTGACTTTTGAGATCAATTCCATGTCCTAATGTCCAAGTTGAGATAGTGACACATGGTCTTCGTTAACTTTATTGAATTTGAATAGTCTAAATGAGTGTTATTTGTAAAATCTCTGACAGAAATTCTCACTAAGAAAGTTTTAAATATACCTTGTAAAGGCAACCAGGAATAATAAGGATCTCAGATGACACTTGAAAGCCTTTCTAAGTGCTTTTTAAAACATGATTTAAGAAGTTCAGGGATTTGATCTAGTACAATGACTGCTGAATTTTAAGTAGTTGGCTCCAAAATGTTTTGAAATAGTATAAAAATCTCATTCTGGCAGTGTGACATTTCCCATTTCTGTTGAATCCATTTTAGTATGCAGTTATAGGAGGATTTGATAAACTATGCTGAAGCAAATCTGGGGGTGGTTTATAGCATTCTTGTACTTCCTAAAGAGACAAGGCATTTTAATCACATAAATTTATTAATCTGGAACCTCCTTTCATGTTATGTGTTTGCATTGAACTTTTGTACAAGACAATACATCATTGGGTTTTAGACTATGGAGAAAACTACAAAAATGTGTGAATGAAAAGAGGGAATTGCTTTGTGCCTAGAATAAGCTGGATAAGACGTTATTAGTGTTAGAATGATTATCATCAAAAAAAAAAACAAGAAGCAACAAGTATTGGAGAGTTTGTAGAGTAAAGCAAACTCATGCACTATTGGTGGGAATGTAGACTGGTACAATCACTAAAGAAAACTTAGAATAGTAATGCCATATGCTATTCTAAGTATTCTAACTATTCTAACTATTCTATTTCTGGGTATTAAGATGAAGAAAGCAAACAAAAACTGCAAAAAGTTATATGATCTCCAGCTTTATTGCCACATTATTTACAAATACCAAAAACATGGAAACACCCTGTGTGCCCACTGAGGAATAAAGAAAATGTGGTATATCCATGCCACAGAATACTACTCAACTATGAAAAAGATATGCTGCCATTGCAACAACACAGATATACCATGAGGGGATTATGCTAAAGTGGAATAAGTCAGATGAAGAAAGGCAATGTATGATTTCACTTATGTTGATAAAGAAACAAAACAAGTGAACAAACAAAACAAAAGCATACTCATGTATAGAGAAGATACTATCAGTTGGGAAGAGGACTGAAGGTTAGGTAAATTGGAGAAACAGTCAATTGTGTGGTTGTGGATAGAAACTAGACTTTGGGGTGATAATAATGTATAGTATACAGAAATAGAATCATAATGCTATACAACTCAGAATTTTACAGTGTTACAAGCCCATGCTATGTCAATAAATTTTTATTTACAATTGTGTTTCATTTTTGTAATACTAAAAGTGGTGGTTATTTTCAGTGTGTTTTGTGTTCCTTTTTTCTGTATTTTGCTTTCTGCTTTTATAGTCTACCTTCCAAAATCTTGAAGAGTCTGCCATCAGACTGAATTTTTTTTATTCCAATGGTATTCCCACCTCTGAAAATCCATGGCCTGTTGTGTTGATAGGAATAGAGTAGGCCACCTGCAAATTTAAGAAATGATTATTCAGATGAAAACAAGGAATTTTTTTCCTTAGAGTTTAGAATCAATCAGAATAAGATGTATCAGAGTCTGACAATAATTTAAATACCAGCTCAATGACTGACAAGACTGGATTAGAGAGTGGAGCACGTGGGAGTTCTTCTCTTTCTCCTCTGTGTCCTGACCTTCTGCATAGTAGCTTGTGCATGGCAAGCTATAGGAAGATGGTGAGAATATCTGCAGTAAGAAGAAAAGCTTGAGAGTAGCTTGGTCTGCTTGTAAAGAGTTTTGGTGCCAATACCAGAGCATCTATGCTTGTGTATGTAGCCCACAATGCAGGTCCTAGATAAATAAGAACATGTAGGTGTATGTATAGATTTCTTTACTTGAGATGAGATGACAATTGTCAGGAATGTTTTCACCAATTCTGTGGAAATGGTAAGAATGTAAAAAGTGATCAGAGAGGGAAAATTGCTCTGACAGACCAATTCCAATTAGTGAACAATAATAGTAACTACCCAAAGGCTATGTTGAGAAAGATGTTGAGGGCATGTTGTGTTCTACAAAAAATAAAAGAAAAAATATACCTGATTGATTAGTTATGCCTGCCAGGAGACACAATAAGAGACATTGTGAGGCATATGTGATATACATCTGTTCTTATAGTAAACCATAAATGCTGTGTGAGACAGTAGGACAGTACTTGTCCCAGTTGTCACTCCATGCACTCACCCCTGTGGTTAAGAGTAAGTCTTTTGATAGCTAACAATGAAGTTCTTTCATTTTGTCTTCAGGCCTCAGTATGGTGGGAAATTCTGTCCAGGATCCAGTCGTGTTTATCAGCTCTGCAACATTACCCCTTGTCATGAAAATAGCTTGGATTTTCGAGCTCAGCAGTGTGCAGAATATAATGGCAAACCCTTCCGAGGGTGGTTCTACCAGTGGAAACCCTATACAAAAGTGGAAGGTAAGGTGAATTCTGGGAACCTCAAGCCTATGTGGACAATAAAGTGAATGAACAACACAGAAGAGATGACTGCCCCATGTAAAAGATTTTCAGTGTTTACCTTTTATACCCCAGGTCCATGCTGGTCCACTTTTTCATTCAATTCTAGAGACTTTATTTTTCCACATTTTTTACCCCCACAAGACACTCCATATCTTCCAGATCTATAAGCCAAAAAGTTCAAATGTTTGGAATGTACTTACGTTTCTAAACTTACCTTTGACACTTCAACAATGAAGTCTCCCAGGGATGTTCATTGAAATTGGTATAAATTGTCCAGACCAAAAGTCGTTGAAAGGGTATATTCCCCACAGACACTCTACTCAGTCACTGACATGTTAGGTGGTTCTAAGCTTAGGAAGGTCCATTGGCAGAGTGACATACACACACATATGTATGTATATTTAATCTTCTGCGCTCTCATCTTATGTAAAATTTAGAGGGCAATTAATAAAGCTGCTATTAAAAATTCCTGAGTGAGAAAGTTTTAATCTGCCCATACAACTGCATGTTCTGTCCCTAATAATCTTAAATTCTTTCACTTTGAAGATTTAACTTTGTCCTTTATTGAGCAGTTTCATGGGCTTTCTGAAGCACAAATATTTTTGCAAAGTGTTTACACATTTGTTGTAAAACTGTTGTCAGGGATATCACACGGCATCGCCTACACAAGGTCTCATGTGAGAATTCCTCGCCAAGAAGAGCTTTGTCTGTTTTAGAAATTGGCAAAATCACTCCTTTCTGATAACAAGAGCTCTATAAATACAATACTTTTTTCCTTTCGCCTGTGATACCAGTAAATTCTCAGGAACTTAGTGATGAATAAAGTTACAGTTTTTAGCCTGTAAGCTTGGTTTATTTCCTTCTTTATTTTCACAATGATTATTCTGTGTATATATATTTTTATGAATATTGATCATTTTCCTTTGTTTCCAAAGTGCCTATTTATCTAAAGTAATTGTGCCCTAAATCCCAGTCAGCAAAGTGCATCCTGGAAGCCAAATTGGGCTTTTTTTTTTTTTTAGATAAAAGTTTTATTGAAACACAGCCACACTCCCATCATTCACATCTAGTCAATGACTGGCCCTAAGATCTAGAAAGACTAACATGTCTATTGCCCAAGGAGAGAAGCCACACAACCCATCAACTATGTGTATCATGCCTGTTGCTGTAGACTTAAAAAAAAAAGTAACACTAAATTCTTTAAATAAGTAAATAAAAGTCTTATGTATGAATATGAAGCAGTGGGGTCTTGATTACTAAAAGGGATTCCTTTTTAAAAACTGCATCCATTTTCTTTAATATATGTGCACACCCGTAAAGATTGACAGCGCATTTTGTGTTTTGATCAGCTGTCTCACTATTACCTTTGACAGTCCTGTTACTTTCTGGATCCCCTCATGATCATGTCCTCTCTCAACCTCTTTGCTTCTAGAGGAGGATCGGTGTAAACTGTACTGCAAGGCCGAGAACTTTGAATTCTTTTTTGCAATGTCTGGCAAGGTGAAAGACGGTACTCCTTGCTCCCCAAACAAAAATGATGTTTGTATCGACGGGATTTGTGAAGTAAGAGAACATTCCTGCTTTGGGATGTGTGACCCAGCTTGTGTTTCTCATATCAAATGAGTGTTGTAATGAATGTGGTGGGAGGGGAGGGGAGAAGGCACCCACCATCCCCAATAGTGCATGAGCACTGTCTCCCAACCCTCTCCTTCTCTCTGTACAACCTCACCTGGTTTTTCAGTTTCTCTTTCACTCTTCCCGCCACTGATAATGAATGGCATTGATGCTCCATGCTGCTTTACATTTTAGATTTAAAAATTAAATAAGAATGTAGATGGTAACAGTAAACTTTCATAGCATCTTAGCTAAATACATTGATGACAGGATTAGACTCTCACAGGAATGATTTGAAACAGGACCCTGTCTCATTTGTTTTTCTTTATATTCGGATATGTACTTTCTCTTTTAATTTAATCTGAGCTTGTGTGAGTGTGTGTTTTGTACTTAGTTTCAGCAGTGGAACTGGCCTGAATAAACTCATCTGACATTAGTAGCCATGACAACTTTTTAGTCCTGTTATACAGATGGAGAATCTCAGCCTTAGCCAAGCAGCTGTCAGGAATGCTAGGAAACAGCAGAAATGTTGTTTGGATCGGTCCGGTTTCTCCATGTTTGTTTTTGCTGCTGTTTGTTTTTTGGGGTTACATTCATGTACAACACTGTGTTATAGGGATACAGGTCCAGATCTGTCATGTACCTAGTAATGACAGAGCAAGGATGTGAACCTCTACTCTGTCAAACTTGAAGCTGCTGTCCACTTTAAATCTGTACTACCTTCCAAATATTATGGAGATACAGAAAACTGTAGTGCTACATGATTTTTAGCTCAGTGATTTCTCTGATCTTTGTCTCTCTCCACCCCCATTTTTTTGGTCACAGCCAGTGGGATGTGACCATGAACTTGGTTCTAAGGCAGTTTCCGACGCCTGTGGTGTTTGCAAAGGTGATAATTCGACCTGCAAGTTTTATAAAGGCCTCTACCTCAACCAACACAAAGCAAATGGTAAGAGATGCTGTTTCATCACTGTGTCTGCTGGAACACACCATTGCTGCCTACCCAGGTTGAGTCTTGCTGATATGGTGCAGTAGCTTTTAGAAGCTCACCTGGCATGCTAGTGAAATGGCTCATTCCAGTTGTGCAAGAACCTGGGAGGGTAGGTGGTTTTTCAGTGTGAGCAGTTTCATCAGTATACTATATCCCAGAGATGTGTTAAGCAAATGCCTTTCTATCTGGTATTTATTTTAGAAAAAGTTTTCTTTGGAGGATGAATATTAATTGTTTTGGGGGCAGTGTTTTTGGGGAATCCATAGTTTTTCCTTTAGTAAGACATTTGCACTTTTCTCTTTCTTCACCATCATCCCTTTCTTTTCCCCTCCCCCTTCTCCTGCTAAGCTGCGGAACCCTCAGGATGCTTACTAATGTCCCTTGGTTTTTGACTGTGTTTTCCACTATCTTAATTGCCTACCATATAATGTCCAACATTGGCTTTTTTATTATTCTGACTTGCTTTGATGCATAAAATTTTTTTCAAATTCTCATTCTGTTGAAAATGATTGCATTACATCCTTTCTCGTGGCTGTGTAATATTCCATGGTGTGTATGTACCACATCGTGTTGATCCATGTATCTGTTGTTGAAAGAGATTTAGACAACTTCCATGCACCAGCTATGGTCAGTAATGCTGGTGTGAATATTGTAGAACACATGGAATTTTTTGGTGATGATTTCATATTCTGTGAATACATGCCCAAGAGTATGATTGTCAGTTCTTACAGTATTTCTGTTGCTTTCCATAATGGCTTCACCCCAAAGTGGGGGTCTTCGTTCTCTATATCATTTCCAGCACTTGTTGGGTTCTTTTCGTATATGTCCTTCTCACTGGTATGAGGTGGTATCTCATTATGATTTTGTACCTCTCTTATTACAATGGACATCTTCTCATGAGTCTTTTGGCCTCATTAGTGAACTTTCTGTTCATGTCTGCTGCCTATTTGTTAATTGGAGTGTTTGTTCTTTTTGTTGCTGAGTTTGTGTGTGTGTGTGTGTGTGTGTGTGTGTGTGTGTATCATGGATATTACCCCTTCAGTTATATAATGTGTAAGTATTTTTTCCATTCACTAGGGGGTCTAGGTAATCACCTGACACACCTTTCTTCGGTGTTCCTACCTTGGAAATGGAGCAGTTGGTCACCTTTTCTTCAGAGAACAGGGGTGAATGTCACTTTATGACTACACTATTAAAAAAAAAGTCCTCTTCATGTTTCTGGATATTTCTAGTCACCTCTCTCCAACACATAGTGAGAAAAACAGAAACATTCTCTTCTTTCCTTCTAGAATATTATCCAGTAGTCATTGTCCCAGTGGGGGCCCGAAGCATTGAAATCCAAGAACTACAGATTTCCTCCAGCTACCTCGCTGTTAGGAGCCTCAGCCGAAAGTATTACCTGACAGGGGACTGGAGTATCGACTGGCCTGGGGAGTTCCCCTTTGCTGGGACCACATTCGAATACCAGCGTCCCTTCAACCGCCCAGAACGCCTCTATGCCCCAGGACCCACAAATGAGACGCTGGTCTTTGAAGTAAGTCCCCTCTGTTGGTTGAGTTCTTGGTAGCACCTGCTGAATTTATAGTGAGGACATCAGTTTGAGCTAGTTTAAATAACTTCCAATCCTTCTATTTCATATTTGTTTGTTGATAGGCTAAATTGCAAAGTGCAAAGGAGAAAAGAGAATTCTATTTTGGGAAGCAGGGCAGGAGCTCATGAGTCTCCAAGAGAATGCCTTGATTTTCACAATTAGATGGCAACCTTTCACTATTATACCTGGCTTTTGGGAATGCCAAGGATGTAGTAGGAATGTTGTCCAGTTAGACTGGTCCAGGTTTTCTATGTCTGCTCTTTGTTTTTTGGTGTTGCTGCTGTTTTATGTTTTTTGAGGTAACATTGATTTCCAACATTGTATGTTTTGGGGCACAATCTCATACCTCTGCAAATAATGATTAGCACACCATGCCCACCACTGAAGTGCCAAGAATCTTCCACCATAGTCCAATAAGTGCCATACCCCCATTACTCTAAACCAGACCCCCATCATCCTCAGTCACATTTCTAGGGTTTGTATTGGCTTGGTTTTATCTGGACCTTGCCTTGTTTTTTTTACATTTTATTTATGAATGAAATCTTCCAACATGTATCTTTCTCCTGTTGACTTATTTTGCTTAGCATCATCCCTTCCAGTTCCATAAGAGTTCACCCTTCTTATTCTCTCTCTACAGCTGAGTAGTACCCTAAGTTCTTTATCTACTCAGCTGTCTTTGGACACTTTGGTTGTTTCCATACATGGCCATTATAAACATAAACAGTGCTGCAGTGACCATAGGGATGTATAGGTCTGTTTTTGTTTCCTTGAGGTCAGTGCTGAGGAGAGGGGTTGCTGGATCACATATGTCTGCCCTTTGGATGGTTCATTGTAGCTCTTTACCACGAGAGTCATCTGTACCGGAAGGCAGATGATGTAATAGAAAAACGACAAGGTTAAGGGCCAAAAAACCCTTAACTTATGGCAAACCACCTTTGTTTTGTAAGTTGTTATTTCCTTAGTTGCGAGAGAAGAAAAATGTAGTAACTGCAATAGAAGCTGCCAACATATCTGCAAATGATTCTATGAGACAATTATTATATATGCATTCTTTCTGATCCTCATCACGTCTCTGGTTTGCTTCTCCCAGTCTCTGAGTTGGATCTGGTTGTTCGTTTTCAGTGGCAAGTGCTTGGCTTCAGATTATGTAAAAGTCAAACTGGTGGCACTTACTGATCACTTCTGTAACCAGACACTCGTGTAAGTCACTCAGAGCTTCTATTTCTCACCTATAAAACTGAAGTAGTAAACCTACCTCACCTACTTGCCAGAAAAATAACCAGCAAAGTGTGATGAAATTTTAAAAGATTTGCCTAACTCCCACAGCTAGGAAAGAAGTGGAACTGAATGGAACTCCAAATTTTTTCCATCTAGGGTATGACATGTACATACATCCAGTTACTGGCTCTTCCCAAATAAAGGAAACAAACTTAATATTATTATTAATAGGCACAAACCTTAATCATTTAGTAAGGAAAATGATTCCAGGGTAATTTTTAAAATTAACCACATGTGACAGGATTCTAAGTCAGATGTTGTACATACAGCATAGCTAAGGGTACATACTCCTAGCTAACTATGTAACTTGGACACATTTCTTTACCTCTTTGTCTCTGAATATGAAGATTGTGAGTTGGGCAAACTGTACCCACTATTAGGACTACTGAAGGCTAATATAAGATGAGTTCAACACTTACAGAGTACTTGGCACATAATGTTTTTTAACCATTATCATTTACCTCCTGGACGTGTCACACACATATTAGAGGAGAAATCCATACCTCACACCGTGGTTTATAAACCACATATCCAGTTTCACAACCAGCTCTGCAAGTGTTAGAATGCAACAGCCCAGCATCTTAATGCCAGGTGATTTCTTATAAAAATGGCATTTTTGACATCTCTTCAGAAACAGGAATTCCTAGCCTCAGTCAGTACTTGAGTTTGCTACCTTTGCCCTACACTGGATTCCTGAGTTCACTTACCTTGTCCCCCAAACTTGAGCTACCTGTCTGTGCCACTTCTGTGTGATGGGAGGACCCTCAAAGATCTCGCCACCCTTATTCATAGAAGACCTGTTACTGGGAAACATTCTTTTTCCAACCCTCTCAGCTCTTTCCTTTCAGATGATCAGAGTAGAAAGCCCAAATGCAATTGGACTAAAGTTAGGGTGATTTAGAGCTTAGCCAGGAATCTAGTCACTGAAATTACAGAGCCCTTAACTTGAGCGTAACAACTGAACTCTGGTTAAACATTTCTGGCATCTTTCAATCCCGCTTTAAAAAAAAAAAAGATGCATACAGAACTGGGGTACAGGCCAGAGGTGCAGAGGGTGAGAGGATTTACCAGAGACAGTTTGGGGAGCAGAATAGGCAGATCTACTGAAATACACTGCTGAGGGGAGCAGTGGGCGGGTCAGAAGAGGTCTGTCGCGCCATGTGGATCAACTACGGGGCAGGGATTGAACTCGTGCTGAAGTGGCTTTAGCTTCTTAGTACTGTGCTTTAACCAGCTGTGCTACCAGGAAGGGCCCCCACTTTTTTTTTTTTTAAAGATGCCTGTATTCTGATTGTTTCCTAGTCAGCATCAGAGCAGCCAACTTCTTTCCCTTTTGTTTCAGAGAGGTGTACTCCACTTGCCAGTATCAGCTGTAGCTCAACATGGTCTTGTGACTTCCTAAGAGATCTTTACCCCACCTCTAAGCCAATGTGCACAGCCCCAGTGCAGCACTTGAAACAGAATGGAGCTCAGGAAGCAGGGCTCAGCAGCTCTCACGGCTTCTGCTGTGAGCAATCAGAATAAAGCACCTTCATTCCCAGTGAGAAATATGTTCCCTGCTACTTCACAACAGGCAGCTGTTTCTGTTGTTGTTTCTCTGATTCGGTTCCTAAACACAAGCTTGTTCCAGAAGCTTTTTACAGATCTGTTTGCCTTTAGACATATATTTTCTGCAGGAAAACCAGCATAGTAAGACCAGAAATGATGGACAGTGCAAAGCAGTGTGGAGGAGTTCTTCCTTATTTTCATCTTTGGAACCAAAATATCTCCTGACCCAATCAGTGCTGGTCAAATTAATCTGATGATCAACACACATTTTAGCTGTGCTTGGTTGAATTTAAGCCCTAGCCCCTACCTACCTCATTCATCTGTGTTTTTTTTTTTTAATATTTATTTATTTATTTGTACAGAACTGGGGTACAGGCCAGAGATGCGGAGGGTGAGAGGATTCACCAGAGACAGAGTGGGGTACAGAACAGGCAGATCGACGAAGTACACTGCTGAGGGGAGCAGCGAGCGGGTCAGGAGAGGTCTGACTCGCCATGTGGTCACCTCCGGGGCAGGCGGGAATCGAACTCATGCGGAAGTGGCTTTAGCTTCTCAGTGCTGTGCTTTAACCCGCTGAGCCACCAGGGAGGGCCTCATCTGTGTTTTTAATGCTGACTGAAAGTAAATCTTTGGACCATTCTAAAATCATTCCAGATGTTCAGAAGCTATTTTTGAGAGATAGGATGATGGCCTCATGGAGTGATTCTCCAAAACTAGCAGACTGAGAACCCTCTCTCCTTGCAAATACAGGCAGCTGCTTGGGATAGTAATGATAAAATGTAAGAGAAGCTTTGGATAGAGCTAAATAAAAGTATAAAAATACCAAATCTTCTCCAGCTTCAATTAAATATGCATAATATTTCTTTTACATAATTTTTATTAGAATAAGAAGTCTAGCAATATCTATATTAATGCAACATGATAGTTTCACCACTGTGGAATAATAATTTGCTCAGTTATTGTTTTACAAAATCTTACTTTATGATGCTCATGCTGCTTATAGACTCAATGAAAGCTTAAATTAATGTCCTAGGAATGTGACCCGTCTGAAACAATCTGGAGGGAAACTCATGTGATTAATTGGATGTGCCTTGCTTGTATTTTTAAAGGAGTTATGGTTTCATTCAAAACTTGCAGATTGGTTAGGAGTTTAAAAAAAAAATGAAAGATCAAATCCAGTGACCTACTATTATGTCTTTTTTATCTTTAAAAGAATTTGGGTTAATGACCTTAATATTTAAAGTATAGCCTATTGCTTGCAGAAGCACACCATCCATTTTATGGGCAACTCTTATCCTAGGCTCATACCTCTCCCAGACAAGAGAACACAGTCATTTTAAAACTTAAAATCACAATGAGCAATAAATTACATTTGCCAGAAGTAGATTATATATCAGTAGCCAAGTAATCTGTGGCCATTTTCTTTATAAAGGACATTAAATAAAGTTCATATGCCTTTCCATACAACTATGAATTAAACCAAAGTGAATACTTTTGGAGCCAAAAATACATTCACTCCATTATAAAAATGTTGAATGTGTTTTACAATCCTGTGGGATGCTGAAGTCAAAGTGTGGGAACCTACCAAAATGAAAAATGTTATTCCATCCACAAAAACTATAAGTGGCTGAAAGAAAGCACTTCCTGCCTTGGACACTTAAAATATTGTAAATCTACCACATTCTCGCTATAGTATAAAATTCAGCAGAAGGGACTGTTCACCAAGAACACTTTGAGATGGCAGTATGAGGCTAATGTCCATCCTCTTAATCTTGTTCATGCCTGGATCTTACCTCCTTCCCATCCTCAGCCTTCTGGGAAGCACCTTCAAGCAAGTGTCTCTCAGCTCACTTTTCTTTTGATGTCTGCTAATATAATCAATCCCCTGTGGATGTCCAGTCAGTGCCCAGCCCGATACCAGACATTGGAGAGACACTAATGGTTGTATAGTCTTGGTGATAAAAGAAAGGAAAAAGTGGACTTTGGAATGTGGAGCCTGTCCTTTTTTTTTTTTTAAGATTTATTTATTCGTGCATACAACTAGAGTACAGGCCACAGGTGTGGGGAAATAGGTGAGAGGATTCACCAGGGACAGAGCAGGGAGCAGAACAGGCTGA